ACTACAACCCTAAACAAATAGTTGCAGTCAGTTCTAGAATGGGTGGCGAGTAATAAACTGATCCTGAACATCTCTAAAACTAAGAGCATATTTTGTACAAATCATTCCCTAAGTTCTAGACCTCAGCTGAATCTGGTAATGAATGGTGTGGCTGTTGAGCAAGTTGAGGAGACTAAATTACTTGATGTTACCTTAGATTGTAAACTGTCATAGTCAAAACATATTGATTCAATGGTACTAAAGATGGGGAGAGGTTTGTCTATGATAAAGATATGCTCTGCTTTTTTGACACCACACTCCACAAAGCAAGTCCTGCAGGCTCTAGTTATATTTTATCTTGATTATTGTCCAGTCATATGGTCAAGTGCTGCAAAGAAGGACCTAGTTAAGCTGCAATTGTCCCAGAGCAGAGCGGCATGTTTTGCTTTTCATTGTAATCAGAGGGCTTAATACTATGTATGCCAGTCTCTCTTGGCTAAGAGTTGAGGAAAGACTGACTGCATCGCTTCTTGTTTTTATAAGAAACATTCATGTGTTGGAAACTCCAAATTGTTTGCAAAGTCAACTTACACACAGCACTGACACACACACTTACCCCCCAGACATGCCACTGGGGGTATTTTCACAGTCCCCAGGTCCAGAACAAATTCAAGGAAATGTAAAGTACTATAGAGAGCCATGATTGGATGGAACTCCTTTCCATCTCATATAGCGCAAGTGAACAGCAAACCTGGTTTTAAAAAAAATTAAAAAATAAAGCAACACCTCCCGACACAACGCCTCTCCCCCATGTGACCTACTTTTTGTGTCTATGTATTGGTATGTATATGTAACTGATAGATGCATACACACTACATGTTCATTTTTTTAAATGTATGTAAATTGTCAAGTCTTTTGTCTGTAATGTCTTTTTCATGATGTGTCGGACGCCATTGGCGTAGGCTAATGGGGATCTTAATAAAATAAAATCAAAGCTTAGCTAACGTTAGCCACCTAGCCACCTAGCTAACGTTAGCCACAACAAATTGGAATTCGTAACATATCATACGTTTTGCAAATATGTAACATATAGTACGAATTGCAATTCATAACATATTGTACGAATTGTAATTCGCAACATATCATACGAAATGGATGATGGACATCCAGAAATTAATACATACTATACAAAACGAAACATATGACACTAATTGGAGTGTCCGGGATTTACATTTACTATGTTACGTCTACACCTGAGTCCAGGTTGTGGATTACTATGATCGGGTGAGTGTGCAATGACAAAAGCCTGCAAACACTGTGGCTGTCCAGAGCCTTTCAGAGGTAGTTCCCTAGCTCCCACCCCTTCACCGTTCACAGGTGTGAAATGACTGGGGAATTGTGAGAAATATGGTGCTTCTGCTTCACTTAGTACCTCAAATGGCTAAGAAGATCTCCCACAATATTGTCCTTAGAGACCTACCAACACCAAAGGGTCAGGAACTGGTAATCTTCCATTTGGGCCCATAGGACAGCCGCGTCCTAATAGTATTGAATTGGTTCCTTTACTTGTCTCCTTTTCTTCATGACCACTGTACTGAAAGGAGAGGCCAATAAGGTGTCCCTTTACCCTTCACTGGTCATGGTGAAGTAGAGGGGATGGAGGCTCATTCTGAAAACAACCCTTACAAAGCTCCACCCCTTTGTCTAACCTGGTTGCTTGTTTACTAATCTGAAGGAACACAACTGGTTTAAGCAATATAGTGACAGGTCCACAATTGCTTACACCTATCCAGTCCATTCAGATCTGAAAACACAGAGAGACTAGCAGACAGGGATTTGTTTTAGGACCGGATAGACAATTGGAAACTACTGGAGACTATTGGACCACAGACACAAACAGATAAACAATGAAGGATCAAAGTGGTATGTTCGTCAGACGGATAATGGATTGTGTCTGCCGTCTACTGTAGAACCCTATCATAATCCCATGCAAATTACACAGATGTATTGTGATGTAGGGTTACAACAGGACATGCACAGCGTTACATCTCTGCACCCCCCCCCCCCCTCCCCCCAGCTTAGTTGCTGTACCATTAAGCCTTGAGAGCAGGCTGGAGAATAGAGGGAGATGTCTTCATATTCATAATCCTGCCTCCCGATGAGTCTATCAGGAGAAGGCCCAGAGAGAGAGAGGTCTTTAGGATCCATATTGAACCCAGCTGTAGTGCTAATCACCACCAGACTGCTGGGTTATCAAAGGCCCTGTTATACCTGCTGTTAACATGCGTCCTTCTTCCTGATCTTGTCCCGATCTTGCCTGTTTACACTTATAAGATCTGATCACAATCAGATCACAATGCGTATTTCAATCGTCTACAATTGTCTAAACATGTGGGCACAATCAGAATGTGGAGAAGATCAGGACAAAGGCTGCATTTTAGAACCAGGTATAAACAGGGCTAAAGGAGTGGGGCTTTGTGTTGGCTACCCAGAAAGACATAGACTATATCTTGAGTTTGTTTTCAATACAACACTGTAAGGATACATTACTTGATGCCGTATCCTATTTCTAGGCTATAATACTTTGCATAGCCTATTTGCTGTTAAACATTAGGTTGGGCATTCAATAGGCTGTGTCCTTATAGGATTGTATGCCTCTCTAACCACTATACACTACATAGCAACCTTAATCCTCACAGACTCACACCCAAGATGATATATTGAGAAACAGGGTGTTCAAGTGATACAGTCAGAGATAGATGATTTTAAACTGCACCCATTTTGTACTACACATTTGTACATGTTTTTGAGTTTGCATAGCTCAGGCCTTTTAGGGCCCTCTTGAGGCGCGAGCAGGACTCTTCACAATTAACAGCGACCTTTACAGACAATGCTCCTGCGTAATTGAGTTTATTCATAGGAAGGGCAGCGGCACACCAAAAACATCCTTCAAGGCCCTCAGATGGGAACATACTCACATTTTAGTCTACAACCCATTGGCTATGAGACGGCTTCAACCTTTTTTAGTAATTAGGTATTGTGTGGTATAAGAGGGGGTGGACCATGTTAAAATGAGCATTGAAATGGAAAATAGAACCACTTGGGTTTTCCAAATATATTTATCTGAGAGAGGAGTGAGATGAGCAGCATCCCAAATAATGAGTCACATATAACCTTCAGTGGTTATTGAAGGTTTGGCTATCTATTTGAAGATTTCACCCTTGCGATCCAATTTGCATATTATGTCCTATTTTCTTTATTTGTTTAGGTAATTCCAATGAGGTAGAAAAATACAGTATGCACACATTTATATGATCATTCATCTTGTTGGTGTAGTGCCTTTTAACTGTCTGTAAAGTGACCATATACTGTGGGCATTTTCTGGGGCAATTTGCAGAACATTGGCGCATGCATTTAATCTTTTCTCAAGATAGGGGATTTAATGCTTATGGAACAGCCTTATATGATCGATCAATCAATCAAATGTATTTCATAAAGCCCTTTTTCATCTATAATAAATGTTATACATTATATAATGTGCTTGTAAGCCTATTTGCCTTTTAGATCATTTATGTTTCACTCCATTGGTTTTTATTTGTAATTTCCTGTCATAATGTGTTAGGGCCGCACCCTTGATTTTCAACAACAAAAAACATCGAATCGCAATTGGTCTCTTCCTGTAGTCGTCATCTGCATTGATCCAACCCCCTTTCTGGTGTTTGGACAGTATATAAACGGACAGAATTTCATCTCTCGCTGAGCTACCTAGTAACATCATAATAACCATTACGTGGACCTCAGATGGGGAGGGTTTACAGCTGAGATTGACGTGTGTTTCAATGGCAGCCGGAAAGAGAGAGAGAGAGAGGGGCAACAAGACGAGCACACAGCCCAATGGCAACGGTACCAAGGAGTCACCTGTTGATCCGTAGGCTTTATGATGGTAAGTCAGACGTCCTCTATTTCACTTTCACATGTTAGACAGGTAAACATTTTTAACTTGTTGTTAAGACGTTGCCATTGTAGAGAAAATTTTACAGCCAATATATTGTGATGTTTACACAGCTATGGTTGAAGGGATCCAGGACGTGCCCGAAAGAAGAAAACGGTCAGTGTGAGAAGTCATTTTTTTTCGTATCATTTACTAATTAAGAGTGGACTCCATATTTACAGGAATTATTCTGAAATGCAATGTCATTCTCTTTCTCGACTGCCACCATATAGATCGAGCCCGGAGAAAGATATTCCCTCGCCCGTTGCTGTTTTTTGTTTTTTTTACGAACAAATCTCAACATGTTTTGTGCATTTAACTTTCAGTAGCCTATTTACGTAGTTTATCTTCATTTACGTCGAATATCTGGTGTTTTTTAATTAGCTTTAGATGGAAAACTTTCGTGCAACATGTGGTTTCCCGGGCCGGTGTACGGAAAGGCGAGTCTGATGCTGGGGAATGGGCGTCATTCAGCACCGAGCCACTGGACAGCTCCCACGTCCACAATGTCTATTCGACAATCAATAGTCTACAAAGATCGTTTATTTTTAAATTCGCCACCAGATTTTCAATTTGTTTGTTGATCCTGTTACAAGCCACACGATCAGACCATATAATTACATAATTAGTAGGCTACTAGTGCCTCCACAACACCTTTAATTCATCTGGTCATGTTTTCTTCATCGCAATCAGCAGTTCATTTAAAGTGTAAAGCTTCATGAAATTCATGTCAAAAAGAGCTATTGATATGTTCATGTATCATTCTACATTTTTGTGTCATTTTTACAAAAATATTTTACTGTCAACAGAGAATCATTGAAAGGCATGTCTTGGCAAATAGAATTACTCAAAATAGGAATGTACTTTTCCACATATAATGACAAATCTCCTCTAGATTATCTGTTCTCCTAAGAGAGAGCTTTCTCTGCCTGTGATCAGCCAGCCTCTCTACCAACCATGGTTGCCAACATCTACTGTCATCCTATCGGTCCAAGGCCCCTTCCCCCCCTCCTTCCCTTCTCTTCCCTTGCTAAACTGTCACCACCACCCCACCCTCCTCTCCCAGTTGCTCCCAGTCCTGTTGCATAGCTACCTGCTCTGCCCATGAAACACACTGGAGATGGAAGACAATGATTATAGCTGTGTGCGTGCATGTGAGCGTGTGAGCGTGCACGCTATCCAGATGATAAAATACAGCCAAAAGCAAACAAAAATCGGATTTATCTCCTTGTGGAAGTGCAGTCTTTGACTATCATCTGTTTTCCTTAGTGGTGACAGTACTGTGTAGATAATGTAACACAATGTGAACATTATGATAATGTAGAACCATTTCCATAACTATCTACAGTATGTATTTCAGGCATACCCGATTATTAAGTCTATCTCTATTTCTTTAATATTGGAATTTGAGGAGAAAAGAAGGCCCTCCATGCAGTAGCAGTGCTATAGCAAATAGGGTTTATTATGAGTGCCATGTTCCCCTCCCCCTCTCCTCTTCCACCTCCCCTCATACTGCTCTCCTCCTCCTCTTCCCCCTCTCCTCCTATCTTCTCCGCTGCCTCTTTGAGAAGGGCTGAAAGGTTGGCATTAGAACAAAGGCAGAATGGAATGTCAACAGGCTTCATAGAGAGCGAGAGAGAGAGAGAGAGGAGAGAGAGAGAGGAGAGAGAGAGAGAGAGAGAAGAGAGAGAGAGATGAGCCTGAGAGAGAGAGAGAGAGCTCTCTCCTCGCTGGATACTTCTCTAGAGCCTCTATCGATCTCTCAATATGCGCTAGACTATGGCGCTCCGGATCTCAACGAGAGATACCTAATAAAAAAACAGAAATCAACCTCTCACCTCTATACCCCTTGTCACTTTTCATATCGTCCACTAGAGTTCCAACTACAGCTCCCAATGTAGTATGAGTAGTAGAGTGTGGTATTTACATGTTGAGTATATATATATATATATATATATATATATATATATATATATATAAATAAATGTGGATGTGCAGAGTGGGAATACACATTTTAGGTGGGTGCATACGTGAAATGTCAAGTGGAATGGGAGTTTTTACCCTCATAATCTGTGTCAAGGCTCTGTGCTATCACATCTTTCTTAATATTTTATTTCAGCTGAAGCAAGGGATGCGGAACACCAGATGGATGGATGGATGGATGGATGGATGGGGAGAGAGAGAGAGAGAGAACTGGTCCTAGTGCTGTGTGGAAGACTAGTGATTTTGTTGTGATGCTGAGCAATGAGAATAACAACAAGTCCCAGTCTGCCTCTCAGCACAGGGCACTGGCCTACAGTCTGCTGCATACAACAAGTTCAATTTTAAGTTTGTTTATTCGTCATATACACATGATATACATGGAGTACTGACTTGCAGGTTCACCTATTGACAGTGCAACAACAATAGAAAAAGTAAACGGGTAATAAAACAATAAAATAAAAACTCAATTGGATAAAATAGAGTAGTAATTTAGCAATAATATATTATACAATATAATGCAAGAAGGCGAAGTAAACAAATTAAGACTGATATTTACAATATGTGGAAGGTAATTGAGCAATGATGAGTAGAGTGGAGTCCAGTAACAACAGTCGTGTTAGTGGGAATGTGTGTGTGTGTGTGTGTGCGTGCGTGTGTGAGCCTATGTGTAGGTGTGTGTGGGTGAGTATACAAACGCTACGTGTGTGTGTGTGTGTGTGTGTGTGTGTGTGTGTGTGTGTGTGTGTGGTGCAATGGAAGTATAAACATGCATGACTGTAAATGCAAATAAAACCATCATGAGGTGTAAACTGTGAAATAACACACATTTAATTCAACACTGGAACATTGATAAAATACAAAACAGGTACAAATGGTCACATCCATAAAATCAGAAAATACATTAGAAAGGTGGAATCTCATGAGTACACATGCTTTGATCAGTTTCCCAGGAAGGCTGCTCAAAGGGAGAGGCAGCCATTTCCCCCTGGTAATCTTATGAGACTAGCATTTTAAACGGATAAAGTTGAACTAGGGCAAACTTCCAGTTCAAAGTACAGAAGGCCAACAGTGTATGGCTCTACGACTACACCTCATACAGTGAGGGAAAAAAGTATTTGATCCCCTGCTGATTTTGTACATTTGCCCACTGACAAAGACATGACAGAGACAGAATAACAACAAAAAAATTCTGAAAAACGCATGTCAAAAATGTTATAAATTGATTTGCATTTTAATGAGGGAAATAAGTATTTGACCCCTCTGCAAAACATGACTTAGTACTTGGTGGCAAAACCCTTGTTGGCAATCACAGAGGTCAGATGTTTCTTGTAGTTGGCCACCAAGTTTGCACACATCTCAGGAGGGATTTTGTTCCACTCCTCTCTGCAGATCTTCTCCAAGTCATTAAGGTTTTTAGGCTGACGTTTGGCAACTCAAACCTTCAGCTCCCTCCACAGATTTTCTATGGGATTAAGGTCTGGAGACTGGCTAGGCTAATCCAGGACCTTAATGTGCTTATTCTTGAGCCACACCTTTGTTGCCTTGGCCTTGTGTTTTTGGTCATTGTCATGCTGGAATACCCATCCACGACCCATTTTCAATGCCCTGGCTGAGGGAAGGAGGTTCTCACCCAAGATTTGACGGTACATGGCCCCGTCCATCGTCCCTTTGATGCGGTGAAGTTGTCCTGTCCCCTTAGCAGAAAAACACCCCCAAAGCATAATGTTTCCACCTCCATGTTTGACGGTGGGGATGGTGTTCTTGGGGTCATAGGCAGCATTCCTCCTCCTCCAAACACGGCGAGTTGAGTTGATGCCAAAGAGCTCGATTTTGGTCTCATCTGACCACAACACTTTCACCCAGTTCTCCTCTGAATCATTCAGATGTTCATTGGCAAACTTCACACGGGCATGTATATGTGCTTTATTGAGCAGGGGGACCTTGCGGGTGCTGCAGGATTTCAGTCCTTCACGGCGTAGTGTGTTACCAATTGTTTTCTTGGTGACTATGGTCCCAGCTGCCTTGAGATCATTGACAAGATCCTCCCATGTAGTTCTGGGCTGATTCCTCACCATTCTCATGATCATTGCAACTCCACGAGGTGAGTGCTTGCATGGAGCCCCAGGCCGAGGGAGATTGACAGTTATTTTGTGTTTCTTCCATTTGCGAATAATCGCACCAACTGTTGTCACCTTCTCACCAAGCTGCTTGGCGATGGTCTTGTAGCCCATTCCAGCCTTGTGTAGGTCTACAATCTTGTCCCTGACATCCTTGGAGAGCTCTTTGGTCTTGGCCATGGTGGAGAGTTTGGAATCTGATTGATTGATTGCTTCTGTGGACAGGTGTCTTTTATACAGGTAACACACTGAGATTAGGAGCACTCCCTTTAAGAGTGTGCTCCTAATATCAGCTCGTTACCTGTATAAAAGACACCTGGGAGCCAGGAATCTTTCTGATTGAGAGGGGGTCAAATACTTATTTCCCTCATTAAAATGCAAATCAATTTATAAAATTTTTGACATGCGTTTTTCTGGATTTTGTTGTTGTTATTCTGTCTCTCACTGTTCAAATAAACCTACCATTGAAATTATAGACTGATTATTTCTTTGTCAGTGGGCAAACGTACAAAATCAGCAGGGGATCAAATACTTTTTTCCCTCACTGTAGATAAAAACACTTCTATAATTGCTTTATCTGACATCAAAAGACATAAAAGAGGACATTTTGAAAATGGTCCATTGCTGAACTGGAATAATTCAAATCAATTTAACATTCCCCTCAGTGTTCCATTTGGCCCAATGAGTGATGAAATGACGGAATCGCAAGACAGCCTACCTAGACCTGCTGTCCAGCGTATCATAACACCAGGCCTGGGTTCAAGTACGTGTATTTGAGTATCTTGTATTGAAAATAATATTTCTGTGTATTTGAGTATTTTCAAACACCCCAAAACAAGTACTTTTATTTAAGTATTTTAAAGGTTATTTAAAAAAAACACATAGTCGACCAAATTGTATTTAAGAGGATTTTCAAATATTTATTTTAAATACTATATTCAAATACCTGGGTTAAACACATAGGAATGTATTTGAGTCAGTGTATTAGAATTTTCCAAATACTTTCCAAGTGTATTTCCAAATACATTAATATGTTCAACTTCTTGTCTTTTCAAATAAAATATATCTTCGAATATATGTGAATTTATAACTCCCGAGTGGCGCAGTGGCCAGCAGGGATGTGGGTTCGTTTCCCACGGGGGGCCAGTATGAAAAAAACAAACAACAAAAAACATGTATGCATTCACTAACTGTAAGTTGCTCTGGATAAGAGCATCTGCTAAATGACTCAAATGTAAATATGTGAAAGTAATTGAGATATTTGAAATAACATTTGAACCCAGGTCTACAACACTTCCGCTGAGCACAATAGCACTAATATTTCTGTGTACCTTATTCTCTAGACACAATATTGCATGTTAAAAGACCAGTGGGTTAGAAGAACCCGTGGCTAGAACACAAAGTCTTTCATGCCCCTGCACCTACCACCTGGAGGGGCTTAAGTTAAGGAGGGCCTATCTGAAATCAATGCCCATTTTCTCAAAATGTACCATTAAAGCAGCCATCAATTGCACGCTAGTGACCACACATAATGAGATAATGCCAATAATGCCAATATTGTCAATCACTACACCCTGAGGACGTATGTTTCCCATCTAACCACCCACTTCCTCCCTCCAGGTAAGTCTGATTGGTCACAATGGGTGCTGCACATCGCTAGTGGATAAGGAGCATTCACCACCCCCACTCCATTACAATGGAAGGCATTCACCACCCCCACTCCATTACAATGGAAGCCATTCACCATCCCCACCCCCATTACAATGGAAGCCATTCACCATCCCCACCCCCATTACAATGGAAAGTATTCACCACCCCATAACAAAGGAAAGCATTTTGAACACAGGATGAGCACCATACAGATACAACATCCAACCATAGGTGGAGTTGGGCTTCCTGTGTGGGAACAGTGGTAAGTGGTTCATGCCATAGACCTACGGGGGTTCACTTAAAGGGCCAATCCACAGTTGAAACAATAACAAAGTGTTGTCCCCACCACTGTTTCGGTAACAAGCTGATGGATGGGGCTGGAGAAATGTAACCACTCTCAAATTCATAGATAGAGCTATGGATGCAAGGACTGACCATCCACTACATGACCAAAAGTATGTGGACACCTGCTTGTCGAACATGTCATTCCAAAATCATGGGAGTTGGACCCCCCCCCCCCCATTGCTGCTATAACAGCCTCCATTATTCTGGGAAGGCTTTCCACTAGATGTTGGAACATTGCTGCGGGGACTTGCTTCCATTCAGTCACAAGAGCATTGGTGAGGTCAGGGACTGATGTTGGGCTATTAGGCCTGGCTCGCAGTCAGCGTTCTAATTCATCCCAAAGGTGTTCGATGGGGTTGATGTCAGGGCTCTGTGCAGGCCAGTCAAGTTCTTCCACACCAATCTCGACCAACCATTTCTATATGCGCCTTGCTTTGTGCACGGGGGTATTGTCATGCTGAAACAGGAAAGGGCCTTCCCCAAACTGTTGCAACAAAGTTGGAAGCACAGAATCATCTAGAATGTAATTGTATGCTGTAGCGTTAAGATTTCCCTTCACTGGAACTAAGGGGCCTAGCCCGAACCATGAAAAACAGCCCCAGACCATTATTCCTCCTCCACCAAACTTTAAAGTTGGCACTATGCATTGTGGCAGGTAGCGTTCTCCTGGCATCCACCAAACCAAGATTCGTCCGTCGGACTGCCAGATGGTGAAGCGTGATTCATCACTCCAGAGAACGCGTTTCCACTGCTCCAGAGTCCAATGGCAGCGAGCTTTACACCACTCCAGCTAATGCTTGGCATTGCGCATGGTGATCTTAGGCTTGTGTGCGGCTGCTCCGCCTTGGAAACCCATTTCATGAAGCTACCGACTAACAGTTCTTGTGCTGACTTACTTCCAGGGGCAGTTTGGAACTCGGTAGTGAGTGTTGCAACCGAGGACAGACGATTTTTACGCGCTACGCGCTTCAGCACTCGGCGGCTCCGTTTCTGTGAGCTTGTGTGGCCTACCACTTTTTGTGGCAGAGCTGTTGTTGCTCCTAGACGTTTCCACTTCACAATGACAGCACTTACAGTTGACTAGGGCAGCTCCAGCAGGGCAGACATTTGACGAACCTACTTGTTGGAAAGGTGGCATCCTATGACGGACAGTGCCACATTGAAAGTCACTGAGCTCTTCAGTAAGGTAATTATACTGTCAATGTTTGTCTATGGAGATTGCGTGGCTGTGCGCTCGATTTTATACACTTGTCAGCAACGGGTGTAGCTGAAATAGCCGAATCCACTAATTTGAAGGGGTGTCCAGATACCTTTGTATATATAGTGTATAAAAATGATAGTTTAACCATGTTTTGAGGCTGTATAGTGTTTGTTTACATTTATTTTGTTTACAAACATTTGAGTAAAACATTTGTGGGCCATACTTGCAAACTTTTGCTTAGACCCAAGGTTTATACCTGTGGTCTAAAATGGCTAGATGCTAGCTTTTCTCATAGGCCAACCTGGCACAATTAGCCACTACACTGAGGACAACCAGAAGAGCACATAATTATATCCGGTAACAGAATAATGGATCAACTTATCAGCATGGTAGGTTAGGTTACTTTCTAAATTTCATCCGTTACAGTTACTAGTTACATGTCCAAAATTGTAATCAGTAACTTAACTAATGTAATCTGTTTACTTTTAGATTACTTGCCCCTTAGGAGGCATTAGAAGAAAACGAAAAGGAATGTTACCAATTGAACGACATCTATTGCAGGATAAATCAATGTTGGAGTTTAGATAGCTGGCCATAGATGGATGTTGCATTTTATAGGCTATGTAGGCTTCTGACCTATTGCTTTCTCTTCAATACAGATAATAATACGATCAGGCTATACTTTAAAAACCAAAGTCTGTCAGATTTCCAGTCATTTCAATTACTTAAATATCCCTTGATCTTCAAGAGTGTGTCATCAAAGTGGTCTATGACTTGTGATAAGACTCGCTCAGGTGGAATAAACTTAAACTTGTGCCTCTTTTCAATACTGATTTGAATGAAATTGAGAAAACATATTTTATTTTATTTTTTACGCTAAAATCTGAATTTCTGAATTGAAAAGTAATCCTAGAAGTAATTATCTTCAACAGTATGTATACTCTGATTACAATGTTTTTGCTGGTAATGGAACTGATAATAGTAAAAAAACAAAAAACATATACATATAAAAAGGTGTATGTAATCCGTTACTCCCCAACCCTGCCTATCAGTAGAGCCACCATCCAATTGCATTTGTTAAACAGGTCAATTTGGCAACAACCTTAGCGGAGTTGGTAGAAAGCAGATGTTTCTGGTTTTCAGGGTTTTCACTATTTACCATAGCCACAAAGTCAAAATGGGCTATGTCCTAAAAATTCATGAAAACAAACATTTACTTTTTGGTCTTAATTTAAGGTTAGGGTTAGGTATAAGGATATCAGTGTGGTTAAGGTGACGACCGGTTTTCAGGGATACAGTATTTTAAACCTATCTTCCGTTTCCCCTGAAAAAAACGGAATTGGGGACGCCGCTCAAGCATCTTTCTACGCCTGCTACACAAGGTTAACTTGGCCACCAGAGGGAGATTCTAAAACCTCAAACCTCAAAAGGGTTATTTTGTTATCTGTGCCATGGTCTAATGTGTAGTGTGCCAATATTGGATGATGCTTACTTAATTCTTCACTCTACTGCTATAATTAAGCAATACGGCCCGAAGGGGTGTGGTATATGGCCAATATACTACGACTAAGGGCTGTTCTGATGCACAATGCAACGCGGAGTGCCTGGACACAGCCCTTAGCCGTGGTATATTGGCCATATTGTTACAGGAGGGGGTCGCAGTTCCGGAGCGACCCACTAGGTGTCATCCTCCGACAACCTTAGGCACCTCCTCACTCACAGTCTGGACTAATCATTATCATATTGGTGTCACCTGTGTCTACCTGTTCACCTGTGTATTTATGCCCTCACTTCCCTGTGTTCCCTTGCTCAGTTATCTCTGCTAGTTTCTCTATGCTCAGTAGTACTAATCAGTGTCTGATCGGAGAAGTATGTACAGGTACTCAAGAAGTGTTCACCCTGTTTCTTTATTATTTCAGTCGTAGTTACTATTTTGTATTTTGGCTGTCAGCCTGTTTTTGGAGACTTATTTGCTCCACCTTTCTTTTATCGTGTTCTTTCTTTTAAGTCCGTTGTTTTGTATCCTGGCTTTTGGATCACCAGTAAAGATCCTTGTTTCACCATCTCTGCCTACTGCCTACTGTCTATCCTGCACCGCACCTGGGTCACACCTCACACCAACCCTTACACCATATACCACAACCCCCCGAGGTGCCTTATTGCTATTATAAACTGGTTACCTACGTAATTAGAACAGTAAAAATAAATGTTTTGTCATACCCGTGGTGTACGTTCTGATATACCATGGCTGTCAGCCAATCAGCATTCAGGGCTCGAACCACCCAGTTTATAATTACTAGTGGTGCAGTCTGGAAAGGAAGGAAGTTCAAAGGGATACAACAGCTGTGAGTTTGAATCCCTCTTGGGGCATTATTTTTCTTAAGGAAATAACATTCTACTTCTGATCCTCAAGTCAAATAACGCATATGTGACGAAGTAGGTCATTTAAAAAATGCAGGTCTACATGCAGTGAGGTAAAAAAGTATTTGATCCCCTGCTGATTTTGTACGTTTGCCCACTGACAAAGAAAAGATCAGTCTAGAATTTTAATGGTAGGTTTATTTGAAAAGTGAGAGACAGAATAACAACAAAAAAATCCAGAAAAATGCATGTCAAAAATGTTATAAATTGATTTGCATTTTAATGAGGGAAATAAGTATTTGACCCCCTCTCAATCAGAAAGATTTCTGGCTCCCAGGTGTCTTTTATACAGGTAACGAGCTGATATTAGTGTGTTCCTAATCTCAGCTTGTTACCTGTATAAAAGACACCTGTCCACAGAAGCAATCAATCAATCAGATTCCAAACTCTCCACCATGGCCAAGACCAAAGAGCTCTCCAAGGATGTCAGGGACAAGATTGTAGACCTACACAAGACTGGAATGGGCTACAAGACCATCGCCAAGCAGCTTGGTGAGAAGGTGACAACAGTTGGTGCGATTATTCGCAAATGGAAGAAACACAAAAGACCTGTCAATCTCCCTCGGCCTGGGGCTCCATGCAAGATCTCACCTCGTGGAGTTGCAACGATCATGAGAACGGTGAGGAATCAGCCCAGAACTACACGGGAGGATCTTGTCAATGATCTCAAGGCAGCTGGGACCATAGTCACCAAGAAAACAATTGTTAACACACTACGCCGCGAAGGACTGAAATCCTGCAGCGCCCACAAGGTCCCCCTGCTCAAGAAAGCACATATACAGGCCCGTCTGAAGTTTGCCAATGAACATCTGAATGATTCAGAGGAGAACTGGGTGAAAGTGTTGTGGTCAGATGAGACCAAAATAGAGCTCTTTGGCATCAACTCAACTCACCGTGTTTGGAGGAGGAGGAATGCTTTGGGGGTGTTTTTCTGCTAAGGGGACAGGACAACTTCACCGCATCAAAGGGACGATGGACGGGGCCGTCAAATCTTGGGTGAGAACCTCCTTCCCTCAGCCAGGGCATTGAAAATGGGTCGTGGATGGGTATTCCAGCATGACAATGACCCAAAACACACGGCCAAGGAAGCAAAGGAGTGGCTCAAGAAGAAGCACATTAAGGTCCTGGAGTGGCCTAGCCAGTCTCCAGACCTTAATCCCAAAATCTGTGGAGGGAGCTGAAGGTTCGAGTTGCCAAACGTCAGCCTCAAAACCTTAATGACTTGGAGAAGATCTGCAAAGAGGAGTGGGACAAAATCCCTCCTGAGATGTGTGAAAACCTGGTGGCCAACTACAAGAAACGTCTGACCTCTGTGATTGCCAACAAGGGTTTTGCCACCAAGTACTAAGTCATGTTTTGCAGAGGGGTCAAATACTTATTTCCCTCATTAAAATGCAAATCAATTTATAACATCTTTGACATGCGTTTCTCTGGATTTTTTTGTTGTTATTCTGTCTCTCACTGTTCAAATAAACCTACCATTAAAATTATAGACTGATCATGTCTTTGTCAGTTGGCAAACGTACAAAATCAGCAGGGGATCAAATACTTTTTTCCCTCACTGTAGGTGTACACATCCATGTAATATATGTATTATCATGTGATTATTAGCAGTGTGTCTACAAGCAGGGCCGGCCCCAGGCATAAGCAACCTAAGCGGGGTCTTAACTTACTATTGAGAGTAAGAATAGGAAAATACACCAAAGGCAATTTCGAAATTTGGTTGTGCATCAGCAGTTTTTCTCTTGTTATGCAAGTCACTCAATTAGCTGACAATTACTAATGTCAATCTTTTGATTGGTAGTTAGTCTAGCCAGCTATTTAAACTTGTAGTAATCATGGCCGAATACCAACCAGGCACGCAGGGCACGTACCCAGGGCCCTGAACTCCAAGGGCCCCCATTGATTTTGTTAGTTATTCTCAGTCAGATATCATACTAACATCGCATAAGTCATGGCAGCATTTGTAGAATTGTAGGAATTTAGCTTTTATAGGGCAATGCCGCTCCTATTTTGACGTAATTCCTGTCTTGTTTAGGTTCCATCTCTGAAGAATGACGCAGGCTGCTAATATATATTCACAAATTGGGGGTGGGAACGTTGTGGTGGACAAATAACAAGTAGGGCACTGATGTAACCTTATCTAGCTAGCTAATGTTATCCGTTGTTGCTACACCGTATTCAAAAGATTAGCCAGCTGTCGGCTAGGCTATGGCTGGTTCTGGAGCTGGATTTGTCATAAGCATTTGGAGAAAACTTCACCACAGATGGATAGGGGAAACCAGTCTCTTTAAATTTGCCATCTATTGTTATCTCCAACGTTTTGGCATGTTCCATAAATCGTCTTTCAGCTGAAAAAAAGTGAACTTCCTTTCTTGTGGGCGTTTAAAACTGCAAAAATGTCTCTCCACCCCATGGCAAAATGGGTATAATTGCAAGAAATTAGCTGTAAAACATTTTTTATGGGCCTAATAATAAAGACATAATTTAAAAAATAATTACCTTTTAATGTAGCATGAACACAACCAGTCATGATATTTTCATCTGATTGTTAAACAAATCACTTCAAAAAGTAGGCTACCTGTGCACGTTCATCCACTCCAAAAGAATTCCAGCATCCAAACTGAATGTAGCCTACAGTGCATTCGGAAAGTATTCAGACCCATTCAATTTCCACATTTTGTTACGTTACAACCTTATTCTAAAATTGATTTAAAAAAAAAAAAACTCATCAATCTACACACAATACCCCATAATGACAAAGCGAAAACAGGTTTCTAGAAATTCTTGCAAATGTATTAAAAATAAAAAACAGAAATACCTTATTTACATAAGTATTCTGACCATTTGCTATGAGACTCGAAATTGAGCTCAGGTGCATCCTGTTTCCATTGATCATCTTTGAGATGTTTCTACAACTAGATTGGAGTCCACCTGTGGTAAATTCAATTGATTGGACATGATTTGGAAAGGCACACATCTGTCTAAATAAGGTCCCACAGTTGACAGTGCATGTCAGTGCAAAAACCAAGCCATGAGGTCGAAGGAACTATCCATAGAGCTCCGAGACAGGATTGTGTCGAGGCACAGGTCTGGGGAAGGGTACCAAAACATTTCTGCAGCATTGAAGGTCCCAAGAACACAGTGGCCTCCATCATTCTTAAATGGAAGAAGTTTGAAACCACCAAGACTCTTCCTAGAGCTGGCCGCCCGGCCAAACTGAGCAATTGGGGGAGAAGGGCCCTGGTCAGGTGACCAAGAACCTGATGGTCACTCTGAATGAGCTCCAGAGGTCCTCTGTGGAGATGGGAGAACCTTCCAGAAGGACAACCATCTCTGCAGCACTCCACCAATCAGGCCTTTATGGTAGAGTAGCCAGACGGAAGCCACTTCTCAGTAAAAGGCACATGACAGCCCGCTTGGAGTTTGCCAAAAGATGTCCTCAGGACCTTCTCAAACGTCCAAAATCGACGTGTGTCTCTGGTGACCAGGCTGGAAATTCAGCACTACTGAGTGGACAGCACTGTCACATATAAAATGAATGGTTTAAACCATGTCTGGTAGGGGTGTTTGTTTAATTTGGAAGCTTTTATTTTAATATTTCCCACTGTACAACAAATGTACCACTACATTTTAAACAAATAGGAGAATGGTTAAATTAGCATTATTTAGAGACCCAGAACAGAATCATATTTGTCTTGGTAAAATGTATTTTATAACATAAGGAAGACTTCTGTTTTTTTATACTGTGTTATGCTTGTTCGCGAAGCACTCCTCACAGGCCGTTTGGTGTACGTTTTTTTTGTTGGTGAGATGAAACTGCCAAAACTCTGAAAAGCAGCTATCTGGCTCCATCCACTGACTGTAGACGAAAGTCGAGTGAAGTCGGGGGAGGTGCATCTAGGACAGCCGAAAGTCGGACACTAATGCGGTTTTCCAAAAGCAAGATTCAGATCAAAATGCCAGTTTTGCCATTGTTTATAAAAGTTGTTGTTTTGATTTGATAACATCAGAAGATATCCTCCTCGCAATCTCCAAAATACAACAGCCACAGGACAACTTTGTTTGGACGTAGCTAGCTGGGATCTTCTACAAGGAATCTGCCTCCCAAAAAAGTTTATCCCAAGTGGGTGTGACACCTACTCCCGTTGCCTGCTGCCCTGTTGCTTGGATTCCACCTGGCGATCTGTTCACCGTGTGCCCTGGCCTGTCTCCCCCTGTCTGGTACAGGTACCCCCGCCACAATCCCCACTCTCTCCTGAGCTTTCGCTCACCTCCAGCACACACGCTCTGTTTTGGTGAGTGACTCTGAACTTACGATGGATAGCCCCAAGTTGTTATATTTTTTTCTTGTGCTTTATGCTATTTGCGACATGACTCCTGCGTGCTTTGTTGACTATGACCTTGCTTGTTTACCCGCTCGTGGGACAGACTATGTTTGTTCCCACACTCGAGACTCTGACTCTCTATTGGTGACAGTTTCTTGGACTCCCATCATATTCTAACCACCTCTCGCCGGCTTTGTATTCGTTTTACCTGATGAAATTGCTGTACAATATGATCTTGTTGCCATCTGATGCACATTCAAATGTCATAACAAATCAACACTGCAGAGCTCTCCCTTTCCTCGGCCGTGCCCTGATTGTATTACTGCTGATGATATCTGGAAATGTGCACGTACATTCTGGCCCATCTACTGTTGCTAGCCCCAATTCTGACTTGTGCTCTGATATCTGCTTCACTGATTGTTGCTCTCATAAAAGCCTGGGCTTTCTGCACGATACCTAAAATTGATCAATTGAAAGTGTGGGTTCACAGCTCCAATCCAGATGTGTTGGTTATTACTGAGATGTGGTTAAGAAAGAGTGTTTTGAACACTGATGTTAACCTTTCTGGTTATAACCTTTTTCGGCAACACAGATCTTCCAAAGGTGGTGGAGTGGCAATCTTTACCAAGGAACACCTTCAGTGCTCGGTTGTCTCCACCAAGTCTGTCCCCAAACAATTTGATTTGCTGGTTTCAAGCATAAAACTTTCAAATAGCTCTTTGTTGACTGTTGCTGGGTGTTATCGTCCACCATCAGCACCGGCCTGTACCCTACCTGCTCTAAGTCTGAATTTGTCCTGCCAGGTGACCTAAATTGGGACATGCTTAAACCACCTGACAAGTCCTAAAGCAATGGGACACCCTAAATCTTTCTCAGATTATTACCAATCCCACAAGGTATGACTCCAAACATCCAGAAAAGGCTACTGTCCTTGATGTTATCCTCACAAATAATCTGAATAGGTATCAGTCAGGTGTTTTCTGTAATGACCTTAGTGATCACTGTTTTACAGCCTGTGTTCGTAATGGCTACTCAGTGAAACGACCTGTCCTGATTTGTCATAGACGCTTGCTAAAAAACTTTAATGAGCAAGCCTTCCTTCATGACCTGGCCTCTGTAAATTGGTATAGAATCAGCTTGATCCCCTCTGTCGAAGACGCTTGGACCTTCTTTTTTGATATTTTCAGTAGTATTGTTAACAAACACGCCCCCATAAAGAAAATGAGAATTTAAAACAGGTTCAGCCCCTGGTTCAACTGTGATCTGGCAGAGTTACTCCACCTCAAGAATTCCATTTGGCGAATGGCTTGGCACACACTTACTCAGGCTGACTGGCTCTCGTTCAGGCAAATGAGAAATAAGTGCACTCAGGCTATCCGGAAGGCTAAAGCTAGTTACTTTAAGTAGAAGTTCTCTCTCTGTGGGTCTAACCTCAAGAAGTTCTGGAAAACGGTTAAAGACCTGGAGAATAAACCCTCCTCCTACTGACAAAGAGCACATGGCTAAGCTCTTTAATCACCACTTCATTAAGTCAGGATTCCCATTTGACTCAGCCATGCCTCCTTGCCCGTCCAACATTTCCTCATCTCCAAGTCCTTCTAATGTGACTAGCCCCGATGCTCCTCCCTCTTCTTCCCCTGCCCTGCTACAAAGTTTCTCCCTGTAGGCGGTCACGGAGTCCGAGGTGCTAAAGGAACTACTTAAACTTGACACCAAAAAACCATCTGGGTCAGATGGTTTAGACCCTTTCTTCTTTAAGGTTGCAGCCCCTATCATCGCCAAGCCTGTCTCTGACCTTTTTAACCTGTCTCTCCTCTCTGGGGAGGTTCCATTGCTTGGAAGGCAGCCACGGTGCGTCCTTTATTTAAAGGGGGAGATCAAGCGGATCCTAACTGTTATAGGCCAATTTCTATTTTGCCCTGTTTATCAAAAATGTTGGAAAAACGTGTCAATATTCAGCTGACTGGCTTTCTTGATGTCTATAGTATTCTCTCTGGTATGCAATCTGGTTTCCGCTCAGGTTATGGATGTGTCATTGCAACCTTAAAGGTCCTTAATGATGTCACCATTGCCCTTGATTCTAAGCAATGTTGTGCTGCTATTTTTATTGACTTGGCCAAAGCTTTTGATAAGGTAGACCATTCCATCCTTGTCGGCCGGCTAAGGAGTATTGGTGTCTCTGAGGGGTCTTTGGCCTGGTTTGCTAACTACCTCTCTCAAAGAGTGCAGTGTATAAAGTCAGAACATCTGCTATCTCAGCCACTGCCTGTGATGTAGAAAATTGTCTTTGTCCTCAGTCGAACACAAAGTACTTTCAGAGTTTTTGTAGAATTAAGATAGACTTTATTACACAGATAATAGGGCCGAGGTGGTCTGCAGAGCATCTAACTTTCCACCTCTCAGCTCTCAGTTTATATACAGTTTCATCCTTAATCATTTTACTTAATCCCTCCCTCTTTGGTTCCTCCACCACCATCTCCAGTTTTCACCTCTTGACCGCTTCGCCCACTTCCTTATTTTATAACAATGGCGATATCTGACTTCTCTTCCCGCTACAATAGTGGCGGGACCAAGCCCTGGCTCTGCTCTGTTTATTCTTAAAGAAATCAATCGATACTTAAACATGGCAGGTCCATAATCAATTTCTCAAACATATACACATAGCAGGCAGTTCTCACACATTATAGGCCCATTCTCAGGTCCATTTCCTGGCTCTGTTCCAAGCCTCTTTCTTCTGTACCTCTCAGTCCCAATGCCCGTCATGTTGTAATTAACCATGTTTAACTTATAGTCTGAACTATGTTTAACACCTGGCTCCGTTCCAGGAATATGCCTAAGGAGGGAGGCAAAGGGCAACATTCTGGTTTCAGTCACTGATAAGGTAGGACAGCCTTGGATTAGGGAGAAGCGAAGAATTGGCCCCTCCCCGGATTTTGTGTTAAACGTTCTACAACAAAGCTTTCTTAGTGTCCAACAAGCTTTCTCTGCCCTTAACCTTGTTCTGAACACCTCCAAAACAAAGGTAATGTGGTTTGGTAAGAAGAATGCCCCTCTTCTTACCGGTGTGATTACTACCTCTGAAGGTTTAGAGCTTGAGGTAGTCACCTCATACAAGTACTTGGGAGTATGGCTAGACAGTAAACTGTCCTTCTCTCAGCACATATCAAAGCTGCAGGCTAAGGCTAAATCTAGACTTGGTTTCCTCTATCGTAATCACTCCTCTTTCACCCCAGCTGCCAAACTAACCCTGATTCAGATTACCGTCCTACCCATGCTAGATTACGGAGATGTAATTTATAGATTGGCAGGTAAGGGTGCTCTCGAGCGGCTAGATGTTCTTTACCATTCGGCCATCAGATTTGCCACCAATGCTCCTTAAAGGACACATCACTGCACTCTATACTCCTCTGTAAACTGGTCATCTCTGTATACCCGTCGCAAGACCCATTGGTTGATGCTTATTTACAAAACCCTCTTAGGCCTCACTCCCCCCTATCTAAGATACCTACTGCAGCCCTCATCCTCCACATACAACACCCGTTCTGCCAGTCACATTTTGTTAAAGGTCCCCAAAGCACACACATCCCTGGGTCGCTCCTCTTTCCAGTTCGCTGCAGCTAGCGACTGGAACGAGCTGCAGGAAACACTCAAACTGGACAGTTTTATCTCCATCTCTTCATTCAAAGACTCAGTCATGGACACTCTTACTGACAGTTGTGACTGCTTCGCGTGATGTATTGTTGTCTCTACCTTCTTGCCTTTGTGCTGTTGTCTGTGCCGCTACCATGTTGTGCTGCTGCAATGTTGTGTTGCTACCATGTTGTTTTCATGTTGGGTTGCTACTTTGCTGTGTTGTCGTGTGTTGCTGCCATGCTATGTTGTTGTCTTAGGTCTGACTTTATGTAGTGTTGTGTTGTCTCTCTTGTTGTGATGTGTGTTTGGTCCTATATTTATTCTCATATTTTTTAAATCCCAGCCCCCGTCCCCGCAGGATGCCTTTTGCCTTCTGGTAGGCCGCCATTGTAAATAAGAATTTGTTCTTAACTGATTTGCCTAGTTAAATAAAATACAAATAAATTGACATGTTATCATCACCAAGCACGTTTTCAGCCAATCTGGGCAGAGTGGGTGAACACTATACTATACAGTATATCTATCTTATCCTGAAAAACTCTCCCCTAATCTAACCCCGCCCACTCTGTTTAGTAGCTATTTGTATTTGTATTTATTATGGATCCCCATTAGTTCCTGCCAAGGCAGCAGCTACTCTTCCTGGGGGTTTATTATGGATCCCCATTAGTTCCTGCCAAGGCAGCAGCTACTCTTCCTGGGGTTTATTATGGATCCCCATTAGTTCCTGCCAAGGCAGCAGCTACTCTTCCTGGGGTTTATTATGGATCCCCATTAGTTCCTGCCAAGGCAGCAGCTACTCTTCCTGGGGGTTTATTATGGATCCCCATTAGTTCCTGCCAAGGCAGCAGCTACTCTTCCTGGGGTTTATTATGGATCCCCATTAGTTCCTGCCAAGGCAGCAGCTACTCTTCCTGGGGGTTTATTATGGATCCCCATTAGTTCCTGCCAAGGCAGCAGCTACTCTTCCTGGGGTTTATTATGGATCCCCATTAGTTCCTGCCAAGGAAGCAGCTACTCTTCCTGGGGGTTTATTATGGATCCCCATTAGTTCCTGCCAAGGCAGCAGCTACTCTTCCTGGGGGTTTATTATGGATCCCCATTAGTTCCTGCCAAGGCAGCAGCTACTCTTCCTGGGGTTTATTATGGATCCCCATTAGATCCTGCCAAGGCAGCAGCTACTCTTCCTGGGGTTTATTATGGATCCCCATTAGTTCCTGCCAAGGCAGCAGCTACTCTTCCTGGGGTTTATTATGGATCCCCATTAGTTCCTGCCAAGGCAGCAGCTACTCTTCCTGGGGTTTATTATGGATCCCCATTAGTTCCTGCCAAGGCAGCAGCTACTCTTCCTGGGGTTTATTATGGATCCCCATTAGTTCCTGCCAAGGCAGCAGCTATTCTTCCTGGGGGTTTATTATGGATCCCCATTAGTTCCTGCCAAGGCAGCAGCTACTCTTCCTGGGGTTTATTATGGATCCCCATTAGTTCCTGCCAAGGAAGCAGCTACTCTTCCTGGGGGTTTATTATGGATCCCCATTAGTTCCTGCCAAGGCAGCAGCTACTCTTCCTGGGGTTTATTATGGATCCCCATTAGTTCCTGCCAAGGCAGCAGCTACTCTTCCTGGGGTTTATTATGGATCCCCATTAGTTCCTGCCAAGGAAGCAGCTACTCTTCCTGGGGGTTTATTATGGATCCCCATTAGTTCCTGCCAAGGCAGCAGCTACTCTTCCTAGGGGTTTATTATGGATCCCCATTAGTTCCTGCCAAGGCAGCAGCTACTCTTCCTAGGGGTTTATTATGGATCCCCATTAGTTCCTGCCAAGGCAGCAGCTACACTTCCTAGGGGTTTATTATGGATCCCCATTAGTTCCTGCCAAGGCAGCAGCTACTCTTCCTAGGGGTTTATTATGGATCCCCATTAGTTCCTGCCAAGGCAGCAGCTACTCTTCCTGGGGTTTATTATGGATCCCCATTAGTTCCTGCCAAGGCAGCAGCTACTCTTCCTGGGGTTTATTATGGATCCCCATTAGTTCCTGCCAAGGCAGCAGCTACACTTCCTAGGGGTTTATTATGGATCCCCATTAGTTCCTGCCAAGGCAGCAGCTACTCTTCCTAGGGGTTTATTATGGATCCCCATTAGTTCCTGCCAAGGCAGCAGCTACTCTTCCTGGGGTTTATTATGGATCCCCATTAGTTCCTGCCAAGGCAGCAGCTACTCTTCCTGGGGTTTATTATGGATCCCCATTAGTTCCTGCCAAGGCAGCAGCTACACTTCCTAGGGGTTTATTATGGATCCCCATTAGTTCCTGCCAAGGCAGCAGCTACACTTCCTAGGGGTTTATTATGGATCCCCATTAGTTCCTGCCAAGGCAGCAGCTACTCTTCCTAGGGGTTTATTATGGATCCCCATTAGTTCCTGCCAAGGCAGCAGCTACTCTTCCTAGGGGTTTATTATGGATCCCCATTAGTTCCTACCAAGGCAGCAGCTACTCTTCCTGGGGGTTTATTATGGATCCCCATTAGTTCCTGCCAAGGCAGCAGCTACTCTTCCTGGGGGTTTATTATGGATCCCCATTAGTTCCTACCAAGGCAGCAGCTACTCTTCCTAGGGGTTTATTATGGATCCCCATTAGTTCCTGCCAAGGCAGCAGCTACTCTTCCTGGGGGTTTATTATGGATCCCCATTAGTTCCTGCCAAGGCAGCAGCTACTCTTGCTGGAGCCCAGCAAAATTAAGGCAGATATATACAATTTAAAAAACATTACATTACATTTCACAACAGATTTCACTACACATTAAGTGTGTGCCCTCAGGCCACTACTCTACTACCACATATCTACAACACAAAATCCATGTGTACGTGTGTGTATAGTGCGTATGTTATCGTGTGTGTGTATGCGTGTGTCTGTGCCTGTGTGTGAGTCCCCGCTGTTACATAAGGTGTATTTGTATCTTTTTTTTTTTTTAAATCTGATTTTACTACTTGCATGAGTAACTTGATGTGGAATAGAGTTCCATGTAGTCATGGCTCTATGTAGTACTGTTCTGGACTTGTGGAATGGGAAGAGACCACTGGTGGCATGTCTTGTGGGGTATGCATGGGTGTCAGCTGTGTGCTAGTAGTTTAAACAGACGGCTCGGTGCATTCAACATGTCAATACTTCTCACAAATACAAGTAGTGAGGAAGTCAATCCCTCCTGTACTTTGATTCAGGAGAGATAGTCATGCATATCATTAATGTTAGCTCTCCATGTACATTTAAGTGCCAGCCGTGCTGCCCTGTTCTGGGCCAATTGTAATTTTCCTAAGTCCCTTTGTGGCACCTGACCACACGACTGGACAGTACTCCAGGTGCGACAAAACTAGGGCCTGTTGGACCTGTCTTGTTGATAGCATTGTTAAGAAGGCCGAGCAGCGCTTTAATATGGACCGACTTCTCCCCATCATAGCTACTGTTGCATCAATATGATTTGACCATAACCGTTTACAATCTAGGGTTACACAAATTTCCACATTATTCATTACAAGATTTTGTTGAGGTTTAGGGTTTAGTGAATGATTTGTCCCAAATACAATACTAACTTATTTATTGCCACCCATTGTGAACCTGACTGCAGCTCTTTGTTAAGTGCTGCAGTGATTCCACTTGCTGTGGTAGCTGACACGTATAGTGTGGAGTCATCAGCATACATAGACACACTGGCTTTACTCAGAGCCAGTGGCAGGTCATTAGTAAAGATAGAAAAAAGTAAGGGGTCTAGACAGCTGCCCTGGGAAATGCCTGACTCTACCTGGATTATGTTGGAGAGGCTTCCATTAAAGAACTCCCTCTGTGTTCTGTTAGACAGGTAACTCTCGATCCACAATGTAGCAGGGTATGTAAAGCCATAACGCGTACGTTTTTCCAGCAGCAGATTATGATCAATAATGTCAAAAGCTGCACTGAAGTCTAACAAAACAGCCAACACAATCTTTTTATTATACATTTCTCTCAGCCAATCATCAGTCATTTGTGTAAGTGCCGTACTGTTAATTTGTTTACTGTGAAATAGCATTGTTTCTGGTCAAACAATTTTTTCCTCCAAAGTTTACTAAAGGTTGGTAATCCAGCTGTTTGAGCCAGTAAAGGGTGCTTTGCTATTCTCGGCCTGAGGACACACATGTTACTGTAGGCTTAGGTGGTTCCTTAACCAGGTGTATGGTGGCTCCTTCAGTATGTGTAGGAGTTCTGGATGATGATGTCTCTGAAGAAGGGGAACCAGTCTCTGCACAGGCAGACGAAGTAGATGTATCCAGGGTAGAATGACTCCTTCTGATGGGTGGCCCCAGCCTTGATGAGGTGGAGGGCAGCATCGCTGGCTGGGTAGGCCGTCATGTTGGTGTACCCTCTGGAGGTGGCAGAGAAACATTTAAAGACATGCTGCCTGCAGGGTGTTTATAAACACTGTAATCAGGACTCCATCCGAAATTGCCTATTCCCTATATAGTACAGTACTAGATGCAATTTCGAATGCACACCAAGTTATCTCAATGGAACTTCCTGGTTTGAATAAAAAAAGAACGACACATTGATAAAACCTAAATTATACCTACTGTAATGTTTTATCTTAGCTCCCCATTACACTTTAACTAAGACCTACTATAAATGTAGCAGGTACTGAACCGTCAGAAATATCAAACTACCATAACACAATCACTCAATACAACTCATTAATGTAATGTTTCTCTTACAAGACCAGTTATTCAATGTCACAAGCACAACCAGTCTTGATGTCATGAATCTATTCGGAAGAGATGAGAGTTGTAGAACACAAATCTCTTATTCTGTTGAAAACCCAATTGTAAATGGCTCCTGTGACTAACCTGATTTTGTCCATGGCTGAGTCTGTGTCTATCAGGCCCAGGGTGGTGACGGTCAGAGACACGTTGCTGCGCTGCATAGCTAGCTCATGCTGCATGGAACCAAAGAAACCGTTCACTGCAAACTTGGTGGCCGCGTAGGGCCCCACGAACGGAGTGGTTATCTTCCCTGTAGTGGAGAGAGGGGGAGACAGAGGGAGAAGAGAAAGGTGGTGAGTTCACACAGTATCCACAGTGTTTGTCTGAGTACTTCAGACTGAGAAGGACAGGTTTTTAATTGTATTCCTCCTATAAGGATTACTAGTGTAGTTTGCATTGGTATAAGACTGTATCTGCATAAGACTGTATCTGCATAAGACTATCTGCATAAGACTGTATCTGCATAAGTGAAAAATAGAGCGCCACCAACTGGTGATGGACTCCAAAAATGAAGGTGCCGGTTTATATAAGGGACGATCTCTCTGGGTACCTGGCACAATGACGAACAGGACACAGACTCAAGTTCAACCCTTTATGGCCTTAGACACACAGCTTTATGGTGTAGTTGAATTAATGGTTTTATGGCATCTACGCATTCTCTACACCAGGGAGTGTTTGGAGTTCCAATTTAGGAAAATAATAGTCAGCCTGGCCTTGTAATTGGCCGAGGGCCAAGGTGGGCTGGGTCAGAGGTGACGATTGACAGATCAAGGAAACGTACACTTCTGAGGAGTGGGGTGGAGCACTCCCACCTTGCAACAGATTGCCATCAGAAAACAAAGCCAGATCTGACTGGAAGGACTAGAGTTTTCCACGATAAGACTATCTGTATAAGACTATATGTATAAGGCTATCTGTGTAAGACTGTATTGTATAAGGGTGTGTGATGTGTACTCACCCAACAGAGAGGACACTACGATCATAGACCCTGCACTCTGCTCCAGTACTGGCAAAGCTGCTGAAGCCATGTTCACGTAGCTGAGGAAATTCAACTTTGGAAGACAACAACACATAAAAAACTACACTCATAGAATAGGCTTGAAGTATAGCCTAATATGAAGAAGAAAACAAATATTTATATTCCAACATTGCTTTGAGCACAAGTATAGCCTAAAATGAAAAATAAACTATGCGTACCTGCATCAGTTCCCTGACGTGATCCCCATCTCCGTTCCACATGGCGAATGGGGTGGATCCGATGTGATTTAGAACCAGGATGTCAAGACCTCCTGCAAAAAAGAGAAACAGGCACAAGTGTCGACTAATGTGCCTTATGAATCTCTAACATAACATAATACATACTCACAATATGACTGAATGTATTCTTAGTGATCAGTCCTTACCCAGTAGTTCGACAGCCATCTTCACCACTCTCTCTGGGTCTGAGGCCTGGGACATGTCCCCTGTCACATACAGCGCCTTCTGGGCCCCCAGGCTTGTGCAGTTCGCTGCCACCTACAGAACAGAGGGAGCAATGACACACTGGTAAAGAGGCTGTCACTATCTATCTGGTCATCATAAGACAGTAGAAAGGATAGAAGTTCATAGACAGACAGACAGACTGACTGACACAGAGACAGACACAGATAGAGAGACCGACACAGACTGACACAGAGACCGACACAGATAGACAGAGAGACGGACACAGAGAGATCCACAAACCTTCTGTAAGGCGTACTCCCTCCTGGCCGTGATGACGATCTGGGCGCCCATCTTGGCGTAGTGGTATGCCACCTGCTCTCCGATGCCCGTGCTGGCCCCAGTCACCAGCACCCTGGCACAACGAACAGACTCTGAGGGGAGGGACAGACAGACGGACAGGCAGTCAGTCAGTCAGGCTGCTTGGGGTGAGGAAGACTACTGATGAGAAAGGAAGATCATATCACAGTGACTATAATAAAATAGCGGTGTTTTAAGGTTGGACACAAATTTGTGTTAAATACTTCATCGTCATCATCACATACAATTAAATATTGGACAAAAATATAAACGCAACATGTAAAGTGTTGGTCCCATGTTTCATTTGCTGAAATACATGTAAAGTATTGGTCGCATGTTTCATGAGCTGAAATACATGTAAAGTGTTGGTCCCGTGTTTCATGAGTTGAAATACATGTAAAGTGTTGGTTCCATGTTTCATGAGCTGAAATACATGTAAAGTGTTGGTCCCATGTGTTATGAGCTGAAATAAAAGATCCCAGAAATTTTCCATACGCACAAAATGATTATTTCTCTCATTTTGTGCAAACATTTGTTTACATCCCTGTTAATAAGCATTTCTCCTTTGCCAAGATAACACATCTACCTGACAGGTGTGGCATATCAAGAAGCTGAGTAAACAGCATGATCATTACACAGGTGCACCTTGTGCTGGGGACAATAAAAGGGCAATCTAAAAGGTGCAGTTTTGTCACACAACACAATGCCACGATGTCTCAAGTTTTGAGGGGGGGTGCAATTGGCATGCTGACTGCAGGAATGTCCACCAGAGCTGTTGCCAGAGAATTGAATGTTCATCGTTTTAGAGAATTTGGCAGTACGTCCAACCAGCCTCACAACCGCAGACCACGTGTATGGCGTTGTGTGGGCAAGCAGTTTGCTGATGTCAACATTGTGAACACAGTGCCCCATGGTGGCGGTGGGGTTATGGTATGGGCAGGCATAAACTACGGACGAGTACAATTGCATTTTATCGATGGCAAGTGTTATACTGTAACACATTAAGATTAAATATGATCCATGAAGTTGTAGATCCTGACCTTATTTCACACTCAGTTATGTCTGCCCTAACCTTCAAATCTACCAAGTCTCCACAGTCCAGTCTAGATATATTAAAGTGGATATCTGTAGTCATTAAGTGACTAAGGTCCATTGTGGCCTGAAACTGTACACACAGTGGTTAAAGCACTCAGATTAGAAAGTGAATGGTGTCCCATTTGATGTCAATGTTTTTTTTTCTGATTATATTGTTAAATGATGACAATAGTTAAATCTAGTGCATGAAATCTTAATTTAGTTAAAAAACTTGAAATGAAAAAAGGTAAAAGCTTATAGAACACTGGGAAATGAAAATGACAGCAATTTCCTGGATGGGGGGGAAATCTAAATGAACAACAAAACCTTAAATGAGCTAAAAATGTGTGTTGTCTGCCTGTCCTATGGAGCACTGTTTGAGGACTCACCTGGATCAAACGTGTCCCTCCAGAGGACTGCCATTAGGCAAACTCCAAAAATGAAAAACTTGGTCTTCATCGGGACCTGCATAATCACGTTGACTTCAATTCAGTGCCGCAGGTGACGCTCAGGTAAGACACGTGACCTTAATTGGTAAAACAATTTTGCGCATGTGCCAATATCCTAGTTGATCTAATTGTAGGTTTTAGGCTATCTAATAACAAAAGTCACGGAAGGTTATTCTAAAAACTCCACCAAGTTCTGTAAAGCATGCTGTGATCACACTGCTACAACCTGCGGACAAAGTGGTTATTGCCTTCCACCTCATATTTATGGTAGGCCTAGCCTACCACTTGTCTTGCCTTAAAGGGGCAGTGAAACTAGGACTCTAGCCAGCTAGCCCAGATGCCAAGGTTTATGTCTTGACTGTAAAGTTGGCACGTTTATTTGTATTTTTTAAATGTCAGATAGGCACATACACAATGTAATTGAGTACCCTCTTCCTTATAATCATTCTAGCTCTCACCATATTCTCATGAACAGGAATATGGGAGCTACGCTATGTACCAGGAGCTGGGAACACACACCTTGTGCAAAAAATATATATTTTATTATCCATGATAGTGTTGTTACACAAACAGACAAAATTGAGAATTGAACACTTATAAGCTTACTAAATAATACACTTTTGCAGAAAGCAGCAAAATAACATGGTCAATATATTTCCTCTGAAGCTCTTGACAGTCCTGTAAACTACACAATGAAGGAGAGGGAGGAGAGAAAATGCAGATATTTTCCCAAACAGAGCTTTTGAATACCACGGACATGGGCATGGTTAAATAATGAATGGTTTTAATAGCTAGCAAACACTGTGAGAACGACAGAGAGGAGGACAACAAGTCTCTACATTGATGTAGAATTTGAGAGCTAAATTAAAAGTGACATTTTGAGAGAACATTTCTTTTAAACTAAATTGAATTATGTAGGGCCTTCTAGGCATTGTAAAACATTACTCTGGCAAAATGCCACTACTGGTAGGGAACCTTCACCGGTCACCCTAATAAAGATAAATGCACATTTTGTTCAACTTCTCTAAACAATTGCTTGTTTCAAAAGTCCATTTCAACATCAACCTTTTTAGTGTGGATAAATAGCCCCATTAAAACCTATGTGCAGCTTTACAAAAGCATTCACATAAGGGACATTTTTACACCTGTTCATTTCTGAGGTGAACAAAGAACAAAAACTAAGCTAGAAACATGAAACGGTTTTATTACCTTTTATGTTTAATTCCTTATTGAAAAAAAGGTTTAAATGCTAAGTAAATTGGCCACTAGTGGGGGAACAACAATAAACCAACAATTGCTGCAATCGACTAAATAAAACATTATTCAACATCAAACAGGAAGAGCAAATCACACCAAAGCATCTTTACAGTATTTTTTAAAATGCGTCACACATTACAGGTATTTACAAAAAGTAAGTACAGTTAGGGTCACAGCGGTCTAACAACATGACAGAAATATTAGATTATTCAACCATGACTAAGGGTTGATTGAAATCCAAAATGTCTTAAACATGACTCTCTGAACTCATGAAACTAGTAGCTAAGTCAAACAATTCCTCTCAAATTAAAATTTGAGGTCAGCTGGTGTGGGTGATTCTGAAACATGAGCAGGCAAATCTTGGCAATTGTTTAGAATTTCTATTAAATAACATTTTTTTCTTGCACTATTCAAGCAACACATTTGAACATTAACATAGGTCATTTTCACTGATAATATCTACTTCCTTAGCCAAACAAAACACTGATTCTGTTGTCCATAGTAACCAAGTCATCAACCATCAGTTGGGAATACATTGTATCAAAGCTTTTGCCCCGGTACAAAGTTTGTATTCATGTTTTATTTCAGAATATATAAATAAAATTGACAGCTAAATGTGTTTTAAAATAAGTAGAACAGAGAGATAAGAAAAATAAAACATTGCTGCTTCATCTCATTTCTTAAAGTAACTGTCGAGTGAAAATATCACTTTTAAAAGTTAAAATTCTGTTAAGCCAAATAATGTTGTTGACTCGTCCTATACTCATATTTGTGGCCAAAGCATAAATTGGAGAAAAATAAACACTTCAAAACCCCACCTCAAACTTGTATCTAAAACAGACAGTTTAAAAAATGCTTGCTATTTCCTTATAGAGTATGCTGTCATACTCCTGAGGAGGAAGAGCTGGCCAATCAGCGGCCTACTCGCGTTCATATTTGTAATGACCAGTATATGCCCACACCATTCCAATACAGAAAAGCTGTATTTAATTACCTTTTTTTGGAAGGAAAACTATTTCACTCATATTGTAAGTAATGAATTGTCATATTTCATAGAAATCTGGAAATGTTCGACAGTTACTTTAAAAGGAAAATAAATAGATGCAAGCTTTGAACTGTTTACAAAAGCCTAGTCGGTCTAAATCACAGATTTCACACTTTTAGCAAACTTCTGACCTTGGTAGTCCTTCTCCCATTGGATGAGACACAAGGCAGGGAACATTTCCACAATAATGACAGGTAAGTGTCATGGTTGCAGAGAGTTCAATTTCAATCCAGTCAATTCAGGGGATGTATTCAAATTCCATTGATGAATTAAGTTTCCCAATAATTTGATTTGGTAAATACTGAATTTTGAACTCACTTCCTGAATTGACTGAGTTGAAATGGGAGTCGACCTCAAGGTGGGTGTACAGGTGTGAGGGTCTGAGGCAGGGGGGACTAGAACGTCCTTTCTAGGTGGTTTTAACCAGGTCTAGTTGTATTCTATGTGGTTTTAACCAGGTCTAGTTGTATTCTATGTGGTTTTAACCAGGTCTAGTTGTATTCTATGTGGGTTTGACCAGGTCTAGTTGTATTCTAGGTGGGTTTGACCAGGTCTAGTTGTATTCTAGGTGGGTTTGACCAGGTCTAGTTGTATTCTAGGTGGGTTTGACCAGGTCTAGTTGTATTCTAGGTGGTTTTGACCAGGTCTAGTTGTATTCTAGGTGGTTTTGACCAGGTCTAGTTGTATTCTAGGTGGTTTTGACCAGGTCTAGGTGGTTTTAACCAGGTCTAGTTGTATTCTAGGTGGTTTTGACCAGGTCTAGTTGTATTCTAGGTGGTTTTGACCAGGTCTAGTTGTATTCTAGGTGGGTTTGACCGGGTCGAGCTGTATTCTAGGTGGTTTTAACCAGGTCTAGTTGTATTCTAGGTGGTTTTCACCAGGTCTAGTTGTATTCTAGGTGGTTTTGACCAGGTCGAGATGTATTCTAGGTGGTTTTGACCAGGTCGAGCTGTATTCTAGGTGGTTTTGACCAGGTCTAGTTGTATTCTAGGTGGTTTTGACCAGGTCTAGTTGTATTCTAGGTGGTTTTAACCAGGTCTAGTTGTATTCTAGGTGGTTTTGACCAGGTCTAGTTGTATTCTAGGTGGTTTTAACCAGGTCGAGATGTATCCTAGGTTGTTTTGACCAGGTCGAGCTGTATTCTAGGTGGTTTTGACCAGGTTTAGTTTTATTCTAGGTGGTTTTAACCAGGTCGGGTTCTATTCTAAGTGGCTTTGACCGGGTCCGGTTGTATTCTAGGTGGTTTTGACCAGGTCTAGTTGTATTCTAGGTGGGTTTGACCGGGTCGAGCTGTATTCTAGGTGGTTTTAACCAGGTCTAGTTGTATTCTAGGTGGTTTTGACCAGGTCTAGTTGTATTCTAGGTGGTTTTGACCAGGTCTAGTTGTATTCTAGGTGGTTTTGACCAGGCGTGTATCAGGGTTTGCAGGTTGAGATGTATTCTAGGTAGGTTTTAACCAGGTCGAGATGTATTCTAGGTGGTTTTACCAGGTCGTAGTTGTATTCTAGGTGGTTTTTGACCAGGTGCAGATGTATTCTAGGTGGTTTTAGACCAGGTCGAGTGTATTCTAGGTGGTTTTGACCAGGTCTAGTGTATTCTAGGTGGTTTTGACCAGGTCTAGTTGTATTCTAGGTGGTTTTGACCAGGTCTAGTTGTATTCTAGGTGGTTTTGACCAGGTCTAGTTGTATTCTAGGTGGTTTTGACCAGGTCTAGTTGTATTCTAGGTGGTTTTAACCAGGTCGAGATGTATTCTAGGTGGTTTTGACCAGGTCGAGCTGTATTCTAGGTGGTTTTGACCAGGTCTAGTTGTATTCTAGGTGGTTTTAACCAGGTCGAGTTGTATTCTAGGTGGTTTGACCGGGTCCGGTTGTATTCTAGGTGGCTTTGACCAGGTCGGGTTGTATTCTAGGTGTTTGACCAGGTCGGGTTTATTCTAGGTTGGTTTTGACCAGGTCGAGCTTGTATTCTAGGTGGTTTTAACCAGGTTTAGTTTTATTCTAGGTGGTTTTAAACCAGGTGGGTTCTATTCTAGGGTGCTATTGACCGGTCCGGTTGTATTCTAGGTGGCTTTGACCAGGTCGGGTTGTATTCTAGGTGGCTTTGACCAGGTCGGGTTGTATTCTAGGTGGCTTTGACCAGGTCGGGGGTCGAGTTGTATTCTAGGTGGGTTTGACCGGGTCGAGTTGTATTCTAGGTGGGTTTGACCGGGTCGAGCTGTATTCCTAGGTGGGTTTGACCGGGTGCGAGCTGTATTCTAGGTGGGTTTGACCGGGTCACAGCTGTATTCTATGTGGTTTGACGGGTCGAGTTTGTATTCTAGGTGGTTTTGACCGGGTCGAGTTGTATTCTAGTGGTTTTGACCAGGTCGAGCTGTATTCTAGGTGGTTTTGACCAGGTCTAGTTGTATTCTAGGTGGTTTTAACCAGGTCTAGTTGTATTCTAGGTGGTTTTAACCAGGTCTAGTTGTATTCTAGGTGGTTTTAACCAGGTCGAGATGTATTCTAGGTTGTTTTGACCAGGTCGAGCTGTATTCTAGGTGGTTTTGACCAGGTTTAGTTTTATTCTAAGTGGTTTTAACCAGGTCGGGTTCTATTCTAAGTGGCTTTGACCGGGTCCGGTTGTATTCTAGGTGGTTTTGACCAGGTCTAGTTGTATTCTAGGTGGGTTTGACCGGGTTGAGCTGTATTCTAGGTGGTTTTAACCAGGTCTAGTTGTATTCTAGGTGGTTTTGACCAGGTCTAGTTGTATTCTAGGTGGTTTTGACCAGGTCTAGTTGTATTCTAGGTGGTTTTGACCAGGTCTAGTTGTATTCTATGTGATTTTAAACAGGTCTAGTTGTATTCTAGGTGATTTTAAACAGGTCTAGTTGTATTCTAGGTGGTTTTGACCAGGTCGAGCTGTATTCTAGGTGGTTTTGACCAGGTCTAGTTGTATTCTAGGTGGTTTTGACCAGGTCTAGTTGTAGTCTAGGTGGTTTTGACCAGGTCTAGTTGTATTCTAGGTGGTTTTGACCAGGTCTAGTTGTATTCTAGGTGGTTTTAACCAGGTCGAGATGTATTCTAGGTGGTTTTGACCAGGTCGAGCTGTATTCTAGGTGGTTTTGACCAGGTCTAGTTGTATTCTAGGTGGTTTTAACCAGGTCTAGTTGTATTCTAGGTGGTTTTGACCAGGTCTAGTTGTATTCTAGGTGGTTTTGACCAGGTCTAGTTGTATTCTAGGTGGTTTTAACCAGGTCGAGATGTATTCTAGGTTGTTTTGACCAGGTCGAGCTGTATTCTAGGTGGTTTTGACCAGGTTTAGTTTTATTCTAGGTGGTTTTAACCAGGTCGGGTTCTATTCTAGGTGGTTTTAACCAGGTCGGGTTCTATTCTAGGTGGCTTTGACCGGGTCCGGTTGTATTCTAGGTGGCTTTGACCAGGTCGGGTTGTATTCTAGGTGGCTTTGACCAGGTCGGGTTGTATTCTAGGTGGCTTTGACCAGGTCGGGTTGTAGTCTAGGTGGCTTTGACCAGGTCGGGTTGTATTCTAGGTTGCTTTGACCAGGTCGGGTTGTATTCTAGGTGGTTTTGACCAGGTCGGGTTGTATTCTAGGTGGCTTTGACCAGGTCGGGTTGTATTCTAGGTGGTTTTGACCAGGACAGGTTGTATTCTAGGTGGGTTTGACCAGGTCGGGTTGTATTCTAGGTGGTTTTGACCAGATCGAGTTGTATTCTAGGTGGGTTTGACCAGATCGAGTTGTATTCTAAGTGGGTTTGACCGGGTCGAGTTGTATTTTAGGTGGGTTTGACCGGGTCGAGTTGTATTCTAGGTGGGTTTGACCGGGTCGAGTTGTATTCTAGGTGGGTTTGACCGGGTCGAGCTGTATTCTAGGTGGGTTTGACCGGGTCGAGCTGTATTCTAGGTGGGTTTGACTGGGTCGAGCTGTATTCTAGGTGGGTTTGACCGGGTCGAGCTGTATTCTAGGTGGTTTTGACCGGGTCGAGTTGTATTCTAGGTGGTTTTGACCGGGTCGAGTTGTATTCTAGGTGGTTTTGACCGGGTCGAGTTGTATTCTAGGTGGTTTTGACCGGGTCGAGTTGTATTCTAGGTGGTTTTGACCGGGTCGAGCTGTATTCTAGGTGGGTTTGACCAGGTCGAGCTGTATTCTAGGTGGGTTTGACCAGGTCGAGTTGTATTCTAGGTGGTTTTGACCAGGTCGAGGTGTATTCTAGGTGGTTTTGACCAGGTCGAGGTGTATTCTAGGTGGTTTTGACCAGGTCGAGTTGTATTCTAGGTGGTTTTGACCAGGTCGTAGACGTGGATGTGGAAGTCGTCGTCGTATTTGATGTAGTAGACGGAGGGCTTGGCGGGAACCTGGTAGATAACCAGCCCCGTCCTCTTCACACCCTTATCAGTGACGTACTCCACCTGCTTACCCACAAGGCTCTCTGTCTCCTCGCCTGGCTTCCTGTCCGCAGGCAGCAGGTGTTTGTTCTCTGGGAAACGAGAGAAAAATAAAGGAGGAAAAAAGATATGCATATGCTGTCTGCCGTTTTACTTCACATACCAGAACCAATACTTCCTCTTCTTTCAGGTCATCTACTCAGCAGCTAGCCACCCAGTTCTCATGCTCTCAACAGACTACAACCATTTCACCCAGTAGCCTCATAAGCCATTCAGCCATTCATGACCTGATTTTGAGTAGTCTTTCTGGATGTATACTTTGATCCCCAGCAGCACCTGCCCAGCATAATCAGACGTGTGTATATATTTTCCTTAGCTTCTCATGTCTAACCTGCCTTTCATTCAGCTTTACAACAATTACTTCATCCTCAGGTTGTCATAGTACTGTAGAATTGTCTCCCTCCCTGGCCAACCACATGCTGTGCTGTGTGTCCCTATTTCAACAGATATGATATCTGTTAGATAAATCAAACTAACAACCACTCCCTTTACTATGTTAAACTAGGTTTCCCTTAGATCAGCACTAACCAATCCAACAGACCTGTGATTTGTATCAGACCCTCTGTTGCGTCATCTTTTAAGGGTTAAGGTAATTATATGAAGTAAATAAAGGTCTTTCTCACCAGCTTCAGGTAGAATGCGGAGGTCTCCGTCCTTATAGTCGTCCCAGAGCTGGTACATGTAGAGCACAGGGTCCTTCTCGTAGGTGATGTAGTACCAGTTGGTCATGATGGGGGCGCGAGACAGCACCATGCCCCTCCACTCGTTCTTCTCCCCGTCCTCCTTCTCAAACAGGTGCTCCACAGCCTTGCCCACCAGCTCCGGCGCATCGCGCGGCACCTTGATCTTGTTGTTTACTATGGCGGTAAAGAGAAGGAAGCCTGGTCAAGCATACGGAACGCTGCGCTCACTTTTGGTTTCAGATTAAACAGAACGTGACCTATCACGAGACCAGGCTGGTTCCACCAGGCTACTAAAATAGTTATTTAACTTAGGCAGAGAGAAATGGCATTGCTCTTTTTGTGTAGTTTGGGGGTCAGAGGTTCAATGGGGAAACAAACAGCCCTGGGTCCTTTAGATCTGAATGGAATGGATAGGTCCAATCCTTTACAATTCTTCCACATTGACACCGAGTTGACAACACCTTTATCTTGTGGTTTGCTGTACATGAGATTACAATTAGCAATGCCTGGGAAAGGTCACAAGATAATGAAATGGTAGGTCATTAACCTAGGGATAAGGAGAGCAAGGGGGATAATGGCATGCAGGCTTTTATTTACGATGATACTAATCATCAAGGGCCTTGACAAGATGAATCTGTTGTGTACATACTGACCTGGAACAAAGACCAGCACACACTGTAGTTCTTTGTGTTTTCTACGTATTTGCTTTGCCTATAAACCTGGTGGTCATTCCAGGTCGAGAATTGCTTCTCTCAATACCAATGTGCTTAAATCAAAGCTTCAACATACTCAAATAGTAGGTGAACCCACCGACTTTCTCTGTTAAAACCTGCAGGTTGGACACCCGCTCGTCTTTGAACAGCTCGATGCCATAGACGCAGTCGAAGCCGTCGTATTTGACCATGTACAGGGAGGTGTTGACGGTGAGGCGCTCCAGCACTGTGCCTTTCCACTTGGTCAGGTTGCCCTTCTCCCTCCAGTTGTGCTCAATCCGCAGACCCAGCAGGTTGTTGGGGTCTGGGGTCGACGACAGAGACAAACCCGAACTCTCACTCAGCTCGCCGCTGCTACGCTTTCTGAGGGAAGAATATAGGTGTAAAATAAGTTTTTTTTTTTTTTTGAATAAGGTTTAGGTTCAAGCAAAACAGGAAAAAACAATTTTTTATTTTTATTTTACATTTACATTTTAGTCATTTAGCAGACGCTCTTATCCAGAGCGACTTACAGTTAGTGAGTACATACATAATTTTTTTATTTTATTTTCATACTGGCCCCCCGTGGGAATCGAACCCACAACCCTGGCGTTGCAAACGCCATGCTCTACCAACTGAGCTACATCCCTGTATTTCACCTGTATTTAACCAGGTAAGCCAGTTGAGAACAAGTTCTCATTTACAACTGCGACCTGGCCAAGATAAAGCAAAGCAGTGCGATAAAAACAACAACACAGAGTTACATATGGGATAAACCAAACGTACAGTCAATAACACAATAGAAATACCCAAAACAGTACTCAAATATCAGTGAAATAACCAATAACAGGTGTTCAACCTACCTGCCCCTTTTCTTGGACATATTTCCAGAAATTCACACAATCCTGTGGGTAGAGACCAAAGAGAGTGTATTATTTCAATGCAAAACATTTAATAATGTAGTGAACGGTGGGGCAGGAAAGCGAACCCAGGTCGCTGGCTCATATGGTGAGGATCACTACGTTGCACCCTCAGAACAGGAAGGCACGTCCCCGTGCTTCGACAACTCATCCCCCTCACACATCTGGGCCGTGAGTGCCGATGGCCTCACAGCCGCCACTTCTGACACCAGTGTAGCAAACGGCGGGGCAGGGAAGCGAACCCGGGTCGCTGGCGTGAAACGCAAACACCCTGCGCATCGTGCCAATAGGGTTCACCCACTTGGTCGGAATAGTAATGTGGCTCATATACCAAGGATCGCTAACATAATCTCAATCTGGAGAAACTGACTTGATACAATTGTATTAAGTGTAGGCTAATTATGAATGAGCGTTTCACTATATTGATAACACATGGACTGTGTTTTGAGAAGCAGAAATACCTATATTCAAATTACAAATGTTAGAAGGCACATTTATCTGGGGACATGCAATCTGCCACTCATAACAAGATAGCCTGTTACAGCGTTAAGATATAATTAATTATGGCTACGTAAATTATCTTATCCCCCACAAGCAATAAACCCACACCCACCAGTGTACAAGTACTGGCCAGGATTGGCTATTTTGCACAGGTAGCCCTAGTTTCCCGCCAGTAAGACCACAGGCGTTGTTACAATGGTTGCGTTTACGCAGGCAGCCCAATTCTGATATTTTTCGCACTAATTGGTGTTATGACCAATTAAATCAGCTCTAAAAAATATCTGATGTGATTGGTCAAAAATATCATAATTGGGCTGCCTGTGTAAACGCAGCTTAACCTCTACGGGATCGGTGTCCCGTATACGGGACGGTTGAGCTAACGTGCACTAATGTGATTAGCATGACTGTTGTAAGTAACAGCAAACTTTCCAGGACATAGACATGTCTCATATGGACAGAAAGCTTAAACTCTTGTTAATCTAACTGCACTGTCCAATTTACAGTAGCTATTACAGTGAAACAATACCATGCTATTGTTTTGAGGAGAGTGCACAACAACAAAAAACGTATCACGGCAACTGGTTTGATACATTCACCTCTGAAGGTAAATAACGTACTTACATTCAGTAATCTTGCTCTGATTTGTCATTCATCCTAAGGGTCCCAGAGATAAAATGTAGCATAGTTTTGTTTGATAAAATCCATTTTTATATTCAGATGTAGGAACTGGGTTCTACAGTTTGAACCCCTGCTGTCTCTGGCTCCACACCCACCCCGCCCGACCATCTAGATATGTGAAAGTCAGTGTATAAGCTAATGATTCATCATGTATGACATGGGAGTGTGTAAACTTACATTTTGTATTACCATACCATTTTTGTATGTTCTCTATAGTTATGTCCTTCAAAATGGGCTCCTGAGTGGCGCAGCGGTCTAAGGCACTGCATCTCAGTGCTTGAGGCGTCACTACAGACCCCTGGTTCGATTCCAGGCTGTATCACAACCGGCCGTGATTGGGAGTCCCATAGGGCGGCGCACAATTGGCCCAGCGTCGTCTGGGTTTGGCCGGTGTAGGCCATCATTGTAAATAAGAATTTGTTCTTAACTGACTTGCCTAGTTAAATAAAAATAAATAAAAATGTATCAATTGGCACATTTGGGCAGACTTGATAGAAAATAGTCCAGTATTGCAACACTTCACTGGATCAATCTAAAACTTTGCACACACTGTCGCCATCTAGTGGCCAAAATCTAAACTGCAATATTATATTGTGGCCTCTCTCTTACATTTCAAAGATGATAAAAACATTAATTTCACATTTCCACAAACTTCAAAGTGTTCCCTTTCAAATGGTATCAAGACTATGCATATCCTTGCTTCAGGTCCTGAGCTACAGTCAGTTAGATTTGGGTATGTCATTTTAGGCGAAAATTGAAAAAAAGGGTCCGATCCTTAAGAGGTTTTAAGTAGCCCTACCGGATGTCAACAAACAACGTCGCCCTCTCCCTCAGTGCAATTGTCTGTGAAATCATGTAATTTCGTTGCGACCACGTTTCGTAAGATTGCAGCAATTTCATATTTCTGGACAAGCCAGAGATATTCCTGGCTACAACATCAAGGTGTAAGCATGCCTGTAAGCAGAGGTGTAGGCCTAGCCTTTCGCAATCGTAATTGCGTTCAGATGTTGCCAATTGTTTTTCAAAGACCCGCGTGCCTATTTGCGCAAAGCGAAACCAATAATAGAACATCCAACGTCATGTAATCATGTTCGGTAATTTTGTGCCATAAAACTGACCACTGGTCTACAGTAAAACGACAAACTGTGTTGTCATTTGCATTACAATAAATAGCATAGACAAAATTGACACACTGGAGGGCTTGAAATACATTATTATGTAGTATAGTAACACGATTATCAAAGTAGAACGCATATTTAGACAAACAGAGAGTTACCTGGCCCCTATTTTCATATCTACTTCCCTCTGCTGAGCAGAATCCACCTCAAGAAGGCTACAAGGAAACAGTCTGACTATGGGAACTACAACTACCAAGATAGGTTTATGACTAAACTCTGTAAAAGCGGTGTCCTTCGCAAAGGCCACCGGGAGTTGGTGTCCATCACGTCAATCACCACAATAAAGCCATGAAAATAGATTGGATTTTGTAACTCACAAAGGAGCAAAAATAACGCTCTTTAGCGGAGCTGTACAGTGTGGCTTTGGCAAGCAATTAAATATTCAGTGTGTAGGCCTGTCTATTTCAGGAAAACGGAATTAACATCAAAAGTGTCCATTTTGTTTTGCCTATCCGGTAGTAAGCTTGTTGGCCAATCATGTAGGTTGAACTACATTTCCCACAATGCAATACATTTTGCATTGGGGGTTACGTAAATTCCTTTACAGCATGACATGTATTTTTCCCTTAGCCCATACTTTCTTTGTCCTGCTATTCGACTGTAGGCCAATATGAATTGCTATGCCTGCTTTAGGAACTAGATTTTTACATAGTCTAGACCTACAATGTGTGAGTACTTCTGTAGAATAGATGCATTGCATGTTTATATAGATATAAAATACAATAATATATAATATTGGCTACTAATAATAACAAAGTTAGTGATTATAAAATGGATCAATGTTGAATCAAGGCTTGGAAGTGGTAGTGTGAATGAGTCGACCAGGTGTTATTTGCAAGAAGGCGGAGGCACACAACACACACACACACACACACACACACACACACACACACGCACACACACACACACATATACACACATAGCCTTAGGAAGTAGTTTGGAAGACACTGCTAATACAGGCCTAGTAAAGGTCCATTGCACTACTTTTGTGAATTGTTTTTAGCTACATGTATTTGAGTGTTTACCAGCATTTGTAACTTGAGTCTGATAATTATCTGTACAAAACAGTTAAACTGATAATACTTGAGGAATATAAACATACTTGCTTGATATACACTACCGGTCAAAAGTTTTAGAACACCTACTCATTGATGACCTCATGAAGCTGGTTGAGAGAATGCCAAGAGTATGCAAAGCTGTCATCAAGGCAAAGGGTGGCTATTTGAAGAATCTCAAATATAAAATATATTTTGATTTGTTTAACACTTTTTTGGTTACTACATGATTCAATATGTGTTATTTCATAGTGTTGATGTCTTCACTATTATTCTTCAATGTAGAAAATAGTAAAAAATAAAGAAAATCCCTTGAATGAGTAGGTGTTCTAAAACTTTTGACCAGTAGTGTATGTTTTCCAGTTTCTTGAAATACTTTGCAAATGCAACTTATTTCTATGTGAAAACTGAAATGGTCTATTCATTCCTTTTCCATTTTAGTAGATGCTCTTATCCAGAGCAACTTACAGTAGTGAGTGCATACATTTTCCATACTGGTCCCCCATGGGAATCGAACCCACTCCCCTGGCATTGCAAGCGCTATGCTCTACCAACTGGGCCACATCATCACATCAAATCATCACAAACCACTTGATGTCTCAATGTACTCAATTATTGTATTGTGCATAGTTTTTCTTAATGGAAATGGAAAGTCTACAGGTTCAAACCTAGATGACCAGCCTATGTACGATACATTAATTGTGGTCCTCTGTAGCTCAGCTGGTAGAGCACGGCGCTTGTAACGCCAAGGTAGTGGGTTCGATCCCCGGGACCACCCATACACGAAAAATGTATGCACGCATGACTGTAAGTCGCTTTGGATAAAAGCGTCTGCTAAATGGCATATTATTATTATTATTAATGTACATTTACGTTTTGTAAGGATGGTAAATTAATACTGCACAAAAAGTGGTCGTTTTCCATGTTATTTGATCAAGAAAAATATTTAATTTGATGTGGAGGTTGTGTCTTTGCCCATAACTGTTCTGATTTTCCAGGGGGTGCTACTTCCCACGGCAATGCACACACACACACACACACACACACACACACACACACACACACACACACACACACACACACACACACACACACACACACACACACACACACACACACACACACACACACAAACACAAACAGGCTGCAAGAGTACCTAGCCAACTAAAATCAATCTCTGTCTGTCTGTCTGTCTGTCTCTCTCTCTCTCTCTCTCTCTCTCTCTCTCTCTCTCTCTCTCTCTCTCTCTCTCTCTCTCTCTCTCGCTCTCTCTCGCTCTCTCTCTCTCTCTGTCCCAGACTGCTGTGTCACTGTACATAATGAACTAGAGGTACAGACTGTAATCACTAAAAGACACTGCTACCTGCTGTGGGGAGTGATGGGAATAAGAAGGAGTCTCAATGGATGTGATCAGTCATGCTGTCCTCTAAACCGAAATGCCAGTTTTAAACACTAGATGTCAGCCACAGTCTCTCTGTCACAGCAGACCATTCATAATGAGCTGACTTGGACAGACTTGGTGGAAAAGGTACTTAATTGTCATATTTGAGTAAAAGTAAAGATACCTTAATAGAAATTGACTCAAGTAAATGTGAAAGTCACCCAGTAAAATACTACTTGACTAAAAGTCTCTGGTATCTGGTTTTAAATGTACTTAAGTACAGTGGTGGAAAAAGTAGTACATTGTCATACTTGATGACAATTTACAGAGTATGACATCATTTACAAATGCACCATTTGTGTTTAGTGAGTCCACCAGATCAGTAGGCAGTAGGGATGACAACGCTTTATATTATTAGGAGCGTGAATTGGACCATATCGCTGTCCTGCCTGAGCATTAGAAATGTAACGAGTAAAAAGTACATATTTTCTTTGGGAATGTAGTGGAGTAAAAGTAAAAGTTGTCAAAATAGTAAAGTAAAGTACAGATACCACTCAAAAAAATGACTGAAGTAGTACTTTAAAGTATTTTTACTTAAGTACTTTACACCACTGACTAACTGTACAAAGCAAATGATTGAGCATTTCAGAGGGCTTCTCTGACAACCTATCCTCTATAACCAGCTCTGAATACATCTCTTAGTCCCGCAGTGGCGTATCTGTGTGCGTCAGACTTCTTAATCAACTTCACCTTTAGTGTTTGAACTATTCAGTCAGAAATCACCGGCCCATCAACTTAAGGACTGGCGAAACTAATTTGTCTCCACTTAGTGACACCAAGCCTTTGAATCGACTTTGTGAAGAATTTATTTAACCACTCCCCCAAGGCTCTTTATAAATCCTCTTCTGTCTTGGACAAGGAACTTCTTAAGAGTTTACTTCAAAGATAACTTCATTAAATGTAGTTGTTGTACCCTAGAATACTGGAGCTGGCAGACACCTAAAGCCCACAACAGGGGGGTTTAAGGCAAAGGGTGGCTACTTTGAAGAATCTAAAATCTAAAATATATTTTGATTTGTTTAACACTTTTTTGATTACTACATGATTCCATATGTGCTATTTCATAGTTTTGATGTCTTCATTATTATTCTGTAATATAGAAAATAGTAAAAATAAAGAAAAACCCTTGAATGAGTAGGTGTGTCCAAACTTTTGACTGATACTGTACGTGTTTGTGAGAGTCTCACCTTTCCACAGATGGGAAGCCCAAAACTAGGGCTAGTGTGTAGTCCAAACTGTTCAGATGCTATAGACAGAAGTTGGCAGATCGGCTGTACCGACTTCAGACGAGTCCCAATAAGCTTTTGGGGGTCGTAGAGCAAAACGGAGAACACCATTGTGTTCGTGAGAGTCTCATATTTCCATAGAGGGGTCATAGGGGTCATAACCATTCAGTCTCTACTGGTGATTTTGTGAGAAGACCAATTTTCAGGATGTCTCATGATCTGACAAACACTGCTCTAGCTCTGTCACCTTTCACCGGAGATACGGAAGTGTGACATCGGCGGATGTGGTGGATTGAGAGGCATCCAATGCAAAAAACAGATATCTCTAGCTTAAACGGACAAATTTGTATTGGGATTATTTTTAGTATGCTAATTAGATTTCCGCGGGGTGCTGACATTGACTCTAGGGGGTTTAAACTGTGCAGTACTAGGGCTCTATTCAATCTGTATCACTGAAGCGTTAACTTTGAAGTGTTAAAACACAAGGGAACATTGCCCCTACTTAGTACAAGGAAGCACTGATGTGGCTATGTAGAAATACAGATGATCTAAAGTGTCCTTCCATCTTTGTTCCCTTGATCTGTACTGGTCTTAAAACAAAGGCTAAAACAATGTATAATCTATTTGCGAGGAATGTGCTTTCACTCGTCCAGTTTTTTTAATGCCAGTGCAGTTGGAGGAAAGGAGATGAGGAGATGAAAAGCCACTTTAGACTATTGAGATACACCCGGATGAGTCACCTCTACCATCAGCCTTATCCCATTTCTCTCCCATAATCCACTGTAGTCTGTGCCCTGAGCCCTATTCCAATACTCTTGCTATGCCTCCTTCTTTCTTACCTCCCTGTCTTGAGGTAATCCCTATTCTGACATGAATGGATCTTAGGTCTTGCTTTCACCTCCCTTTCGAGGTTGGATCAGTGATTATGTGGTTATGTGGTAGTCCCACCTAGCTATCTTTAGATGAATGCACTAATTGTTTGTCGCTCTGGATAAGAGCGTCTGCTAAATGACTCAAGTGTAAATGTAAAAATAAAAAAATACTCCACAGAGGGGATGAAGAGATAATTTTTTGAACAGGGATATGGACTGCTGTCTCAGTGGTTTGGATGCCTGTGTGCCTCCGCCTTGGCTCACTCAGCAACAATGGATCTGGCCAGAGAAGCCTGTGGGTCTGGCTAAAGCTGGTGTACAATCCACCCCCTCAGCCATTCATCAACACAGACACAGAACACCCAGAACAACAGAGGGGACTGTTGTTGTATAAGGCTAGAGAGAGACTAAAAGCGTTGTACACAAGGTTATAGGATTTCAATATCATTTTACTTGAGCCCTTTGGCCTACATCCTAATAATGATGTTACAGACATCATAAATAGTCAAGAGCTATAACCCATGTAATATTATGGCAACTGTCATGAGTCATGAATCCTTAGGAAATCTGTTATGTTGATATAATGAAACCGTTAGACCGGTAGTCCTTTTGAAAAAGGATTCAAGTAGGCCTAAAGTGCATTTTCTT